ACATTCTTGAATTAGTCCGAAGGCGAGATGGAACAGTTAGGCGAAGAATGAATGCGGTAGTACCTTTCATGAGATCATTTTAATTTCAGCCCCTTTTTGCCTTCTTATACTTTGAAATGATAATGTTAGGAAGGAGTGGATGAAAATTGGTTGCCAATTTGAAGGGACGGAGCGCTGTTAGACTATTTGTAGGTTTTACTTCTGATTCATTTGCAGAAAATCCACTATCTTTGAAAGTACACGTTCGTTTAAGCAGAACTGGGGTATTTCAGGTGTCACAAAATGACTTGAAGATAATCCACAAAAAAACGAAGAATAAAATAACCCGTAAGATGAAAAATGGGGCATTTGTTACCTTACGCTTCATATACGGGTGACGTTCGGGAAGAACGCAAGGCAAGATGCTTGGGTATGAATGGCGTCACTGGAGAATTGAAAGCTATCAACAATTCTACTCAAGCGATTCACCCTCGCTAGGAAAGTCAATCAGCTGAACTACTAATTCATTCGTGCTTGCTGCAATACCTGGGACTCCTTCGGTTTTACACGTTTAGTTAATAATGGAAACAGGACAGACTATCAGTAAATGGTCCTGAATAAATATTACAACAACGAATTGGAATGCAAAAACTACTTCGCATTCTGAAATTCTGTCAAAAGCCATCTTCATTTAGGTCATGGTGAATGGGACTGCTGCATCTTCCTCCCTTCCTCATATCAGGGCCCACCAATGGTAATGTGACGAAATACCAAATTACTTCACAATAAGGAGGAAAGGTAAATGCTAGCACAAGAAGCAAGTAATATAGCAGTAATGTTGAGCCTAAATATACTTAAATTGGTACTTCAACTTCATGAGGAAATTTGCAAAGTCTGTGAGGAATTTCAAGTTGTGTTTCTAAGTGCTGCTTACGAAAACGACTCCCTCGCATTGATGTTTTTACGAAGTGGTAAACCTTTACAAGTGTCTGCTAAAAAATCCACCCAACCAGAAAATTGCCAAAGTGCTTCTTCTACTGGTATCCTCTGTCATGTGTTCGTCAACACAACCAGCAACGTAGCAGAAGATGTCAGTTCTCTTATGACCACTATAACAGAAGAAGTAATAGCAACCACACAATCAGGAGACGCTGACACAGTCAAATCCGCAAGTGAGATTAATATTTTCAAATGTGAAAATGATGCGGAATAACTAGTCTAGAAGTAGAAGCTGCAACTCCTGAATTCATTGTACTGAACCGAAAGTGGTTAAAGGGACCCAAAACTAACAAGGGATCGAAAAATCAGAATGCCATTAAGAGGTGGTAACTACCTATCCCACCCAAGGCCCCTCAACCACCCTATCCACATATGCACAAGAAACCATCCAACATTAGCAAGAACAAAGTCAAACCAATAAAGAAATTATAACACGGCTCAGAAACAACCATTCTTACAACAGCTTAACCTCCTACATACTAATGTACACATCCCTCCCACGGCAGCATTCATAAAGTCTTCTCCCCCCCATTCCTCTGTTTCATTTGTTGACCACTCTCATCCTCTCTACGCACTTGTGCTTTGCATGATTTGCACCACTTTGTGACCTATTGTGTATCAAACACACATTCTTTGATTCGTTTATTCCTAACATCACTTTCTTCCTTCTTTTGTATACACTTCATTTGCCTTGAAATACGGTAAAAACCTTGACGCAGGTTGTGATACGAGCAAATGTTTAAGCTCTGTTTCAGCGCGCATTTTTGCATGGTATATCAGAGTAAGAATAGATGTGATGGTTGAATATTAGGCATGCGCATTTTTCTGTTAGAATTTTCCAAATGCAGTTTCCTTTGCTATTTGCGCAATTCAAAAGCTTCAATTTATGGATGTTTTTGCAGTCCCAATTGAGTAATTTATTAGTTATGAGGCAACTTACATGCACAAGTTTTACATGCTCGTTGTTAGGTTGCCCCACAGAAGCTTGCACAGTCGGTCGTGAAATTGTATGTAAAGTAAGCAAGTTAAGAGTTATTTCCAGCACAGCTAAATTTTCAAATCTTTGATACAGTCCAGTTTTTAAGAATTTCTTCCTTAGGAGTCAATGCACAAGAGAAATTTTTTAGTCACTTTGCAAACGTTGCATTTGGGAGATGCACGTCATAACACCACGTCCGTAGCTACGGTTCATTAACGTCTACTTACAAATAATGGTTGGGGTAAGTGAATAAGTCAAATTATTTCCAAGCTACTTTGCAGCTATTTTCTTTTAAACCATCTTCTTAAAAGGTTTGCTGCTGCACCTTTATTACCATCAGAAATATTAAGCAGCAGAAAAGATGAATGCGGCTTATAAAATGCTTTACTGGAGGGACTTCTGGTAGCGCTAAGCGACTGGGCAAATGAGACTGTCCCTGTACTTTATTTGAAAAAATGCATAGTTTCCTGCCCACTTTAAAACATCACCGAGGATAGGTCAAATGTGATGGATATGAGTTAGTTGGATTGTCTTAAAGTTCGGTGATTAATTATTAAATAAAATTAAATTGTGAGTGCCTTTGTAATGCAAAATGAATACAAAAGGCCGAAATTTTTTGCTTTTTTTAAGTAATGCATTTTATCAGCCAGAATTTTATAGTCATGGGCAAGCCTAATGCGATATGCATTATGTCCTTCTCTTCTCAAGGTCCTGCTGCACTTAGATTGCGTTTTCACGACCGTCGTTGCCAAAATATGGAAACATTTTGACCGGCTCAGCGAATATCGGGTGTGGCACTCTTCTTACACATATCCATGCAAGTGTATTCTTTCATTCAATAAAAAGCAGAAAATAACGCTATTAAAAAAAATCAACATCCCATCTACAAAATATATG